TAATGTTACTTCAATTTCTGAAGAATCTGAAAATATATGCATACGTAATCGGTTTTTTTTAAAATAGCGAAGACGGTTAATTTTAGGCATATTTGGGCATATTGTTGAATGCGTTCTCGGTACTTTGCACTCTCTGAATGTCTACTGCTAAGTTTTCCCATTTTCATATAAATAAACTCATTACATAACAACAATCAGCCAGACATTTGTACAAACGTTCCATGCTAACTCTACATATGATAAAATGACAAAAAGCAACCCACGTGTATGATTTTGAGATTTGTCCATTCCCCACGTGAAGCTGAACAATCAAATCCTCTTCTCTTTAAACAAACTTTATTTGCCATCGGTCGCATTCGACGGAGGGCGGATTAAATATAGGATTATTTGATTGGGTTCAAATGAATATAGACACTATAACATTTAGTATTTACATGAGAACAAACTTATGGCAGACGTGGGATCTCCATCCATCAAGAATGTGAATGATTTACCATTGACCTTAGCAAGTTCATTAAACGATCGATGGGGAACAACCCTTTCATCGCGGTAAGTCGTGTATAATGTACATGGGAGCGTTCATTATACGCATCTGAAAATCACATTTGACTTTTAACGAGTAACTGTAACTTGTCATATGTTTCCTTTCATATCAACAATAATTCCTTTGGTGCCCATTTTCTATTTCGTTAGGTGGAATGCATGTATCCGGGGGTAAAACATGGATTTGTGTACAAATCTCAAATATGATAATTCAAACTTGATATGAAAGGCGTCTGAATGTGACTTGGGCATTAACACTCGATGAATCACCAGTAAAAATAAGTTTAATTTGGAACGACAAAATGATCACATTGCATACTGACCTGTCCCTTGGATGAAATGCGGTCTTAGCAGGATTAATATGAAGCAATAAAGACCAACAACAGAAGGACCCTTGTTCCAAATTGCAAATTAAACTCCCAGCCTTCAATAGAGAATTCACTGCATATCTAGGTGTGTCGTTCCATATTCCCTGAAAAATTGTCAAATTCTTTTTGCGGGCAGGATGAGTTAAATATTTTCTTTGATTTGAAGTCAATCTTTTATGCAAACAGTTAACATTACTGCCTTTAATTATCGGCTATAAAATGTGCCTTTATAGCTTCAGGACAGGAATCCAGGGCAAGTATTAATAGCATACCCATTCATGGGATTGTGTTTTAAATCTAAAACGCCAAAATGACATTGCGAATATAATTCCGGAAAATATAATATCTCAGTCAATAATTGTTTTTAAGTTTTTCATAGGTGCATGGAAATGGATTTGGCTTAGCATCATGCTCCTGAAACAATCTAAGGTATCGCCTCTTGTTCAAAGATGAAGCAAACACGATTTGCCTTTTGTTAACCCGTGGATTACAATTATTCTATTACAACCGTAAAGAAAAATGCATTAAGACACGTTGGAATCCAGAATAACGATTTCCCCATAAGGATAATCGAAACATAGTTTGCAACATGGACAAACATTAGCGGCGTTGTATGTAGTTACCAATAAAACAATAATCCGTCATACGTTTAAGTCAGCACTCAGAAAATGAAATTCTTCCTGGGAGGCGTTTTTACAAACGTTAGGATATCGAATTATTACGTTAAAGGTCTTTTTTAAATACGAAAAAAATAGGAATAAACAGGTATAGTCAATAGTTTTCTAAAGTGAGAATAGTTCATGTGGGAGGTCGAACATACGTTCTTATCCAATCTAGCTTCTATAAAACAGTAGGATTTGTTATGTGCTGCTGTTCACGAATTACCTACATGGCTGAAATTACATATACTGCACCAATTAAACATTGACGTATGGAATAAGCGAACTTTCAAGATGCTTTCCATGTACAGGTCTTTGTGTTGCGCCGTGTCTCGAGGATGACTGTCACTTCACCTACGTAGATCAGTGAGCAGGACCCCACTGATGACACGGTAAGCTACAATTAATCGGAAGAGAAACTTTCAATGAGGGGGGGTACGCTGAGGTCTTCAAATTCGCGAGCTAATCAGTCTGTTTACACAGACCAGTCCCGGGGGTGAGTGATGGGAAAAGGAATGGGGGATGACAAACAGCAAAAAAAGCATGGCAATGAGGCAAATAAGCTTGTATCGAAAAGTGGCTTCCTCAAAGTTAAGCTTCTATCTCTTTGCCAAGTAGTTTGAAGGCGCATGGGGATATGTTATTGTTTAGGCTAGTGAGGGATTTGAAAAAATATTAAATCATCGTCTTTAAAGCGTTGTATGGGTAGAATATCCCAACCGTAGCAAGAGTGTGACACAAAAAGGTCATTATCATACATGGATACTAGAAAATAGAAATGGTAATTCGTCGAAAATTTTAAAAGGGCATACATATGTGTGGAAACATCTTGTAGGAAAATACCGGCCATAACACAGAAGATTAGATCGTCAAACATAATTTTTTTAATGGCAAGATCTGACACAACCATCATTTATGGTATAGTGTTAATATAGTTTGTTGTTCGCTAAGACAATTGAAATATTCCCAAGGTAACAAACAAACATATTCAATCTAAAATTCTAAAAATGTCAGAAGGAAGGACATTCTTTTTAAAGATTTTAAGAATTGTTGAAAAAAGCCTGCATATAGGTTGCGTTTAAATATTATTTGACAGTAAGAGCAACATGAACAACACGGCGGCGCGGACATGCAGCAAAGGTGTAATGTGTGACAATAGCTATAACAATACATGATGCTAATTATGACCCATACAAACTAATTCCAACAAGCTGTTTACTCTATGAAGGTATGACCTGTCTACATAATGCAATATGATATATACTTACGTATATTGATTTGTACAAAATATTTATTCAGATAATTCTCCAAACTTGAAACATGTTCATTATCTGTTAATTCTCCCACTGTGGGGAAAAGGAAACGTCACAAGGAACCTTACGTGGTTGTTTCTTTTCTTGTCTGTAAGAAACGGATATGTATCCTTCAACAACAAACAAAAAAGATTTTCAAGCCATAGCCAACTGTTGGCTATTGAGAAAAAGTTTCTGAACAAACATGAGGATTGTTGGAATGCCACAGCTTGTGAAATCTTCATTTAAATTAGAACCAGTATTGTCAATTCTTTGAATTCCTTATCGTAGATACACCTTTTTTTACAGGAAAAAGGCTTTTAGAACTAGGTAGAGCATGGGAACAGGGTGGCCACGTCAGTGTTGTTCTTCATTTCCTGTCCATGTTATACGTCTTCATCTAAGACAATCATATATACAGACAGCGACATTCGGGATGAACACCCTAGTATGATATGACACTGATAATAATTTGCTATAGGCTCAATACAAACAATAGAAACATGATGGAAGAGAAATATGTTGTTCTCGCTGTGTACGTGTTGAAGCAGTGAGGAAATGTTTTTTTGTTTATATATAATAACTCGTATTTATAGCACCACTCTCATTAGAACACTGTAAATATTCTGCATGAGCTCTGGGATATGGGCAGGAGGAACGTGTCGACAACGCCACGTTTCCAGCATTCATGGCATGCAGTAAGACGACACTACTTAAGAAACAACCAAATGTCCTGGAACATGGTAGTAATTCTTGACTTGTTGAGCAACACCTTTGGCTGTCTCTGTGAGTCATTGTTCTGTCACGTTTTTCTGTTACGTAACACCAACAAAGCAGTACCGTCATACCTACTCCTTACTGACTAAACGTGAGACAGTCACAAACAGAAAGTATTTCCCAGAATCATCTATTCCATCTCTATTGGCTCAAGTCTTGTGCGATAAAAAACAACATGCCATTTTGCAAAGTTTGGTGTATTTAAGAGTCATTTACTTATGTCAATCAATTTAAAAAGTTGGAACAGTACTACAACGAAAAATAGTTACAGACTACCAGAAATGAATGACTAGGCTACAACAAATTGATTATTAATTCTTCAGATTGGTTTCCCAATATGTTCTTTTGACGGATGATTATATGTCATTGAATGATGCAATACAAATGTGTGGTTGGATTTCATATCATTTGTTCCTGCAATGTAGTTGGTAAGCGGAATAAATGAAGCATTAAATTATAGTATAAACTAAACCAAAAATATAATTAGGAATAAAGAAGCAAGTTCAACGGTATCATTAAAATGATCCGATAAATAACTTTTATAAGTACACAAGGACTTTTTTATCTTGATATTGCTCGCTAATATATAACGTACATATAATTACTTCATGATATCTGTCCAACACGTGCAGGTCTTAAAAATATAACTTTGATAGCACTGATCACTGTACCCCTCGTGTGCTGGAAATCACTATTTCTGAGGTCGCATGTAATATATAATCCACTGATAAATTCTTCAATTGTACAAGGTCAGTGGAAAGCAAAAGTTTATAAAAATCCCCTGTGTTTATCACGTTTTCGTGCAAGTCGGACAGTAGGACCTTGGGGATTTATGTCCAGATAGCCTGTCTTAAACCAGTGACTGAATCCTCTGCCTACCAGATCCTATGAACATTTAGGCTATGTGCCAAATATAGATTTCTTCCTAATCGCCCCAACACTCATGCAACCATTATATTTTTATAGCTCGGTAACCTTAGTTTTTAAATTTTAATCCTCAGATTTAATCTTGATCACCATTGCTACTGTTCTAAGCTCCAGCTAGAAATTAGATTTGCAGCCTCAGTAATTATATCCTTTACTTTACTGTCCCGTGTGTCAGGATTGCCGCGCTTGCAAAAAGGTATGTTTGGCTTCGGATCACATGTATTTATTTACCGATTAAAGCACTATTGAGAGACAAGCGGCATTTGAAAGCAAGCTTTCCCTTGTGGTCGATACTTCGTCAACACATCGGGTCGTAACGTGCTGCAAACAGAGTGTGTACACCGCACAGGAAGACAACCAATCAATGCGTGAGGGGCTCACGGGCCCTCTTAAAGCAGTTGCTCACCAGAAACATACCATAAGCACAACTGCCGTCGTGAGAGCACCCACGTGCTTCTTCCCCTACTAACACTACTTCGGTTTTGGAAGAGCATCATCATACTCAGAAACTGTTTTCACTTGAGTCTCTCCACTGGACTTACGTCTTGGACTAAAACCGACTTGCGTTCACCAAAGATTAAATATCAGTTGGATATAGTAAACTGGTGTTGTGTCCAAGAACTGAAATTTGGATTTCAATTTTGCTGGAAAGATGAGGTGTGCTGGGGTTGTGGAGTTCTCTAACAGGACACTGTGGACTCTGATTGTCATGTTCATATGTTACTGCACTGTTGATGCCAAACGTGCCGAGTACCCCTGTCCAGGAACGGATGCCATACGCTGGGTAAGAGATCCTAACGATTGCTCTATCTACTACATTTGTCACTACGGGCAGCCATTAGGCATGCCTAGATGTCCTATTGGTCAAATTTGGGGTAATACTGCTAAAAACTGCGTTCCGGAGGGTTCTCGATGGGACGACTGCAATGGCCCGAAATACCAACCAGCGCCAAAGAAATCTGATACAATAGTGATACGTACTCAGCCAACTGATGTGACAACCAAGGAATCGAAATCCGTTACAATGCGTGCTAAAACCACAGAAAGTTATGTAACTCAGTATAACATTCCTGATATGCCCAAGAAGACCAACAAACACGTGACACCCGGTTATACCGTGACAGGAGCCGTACAATTTACTGTTACCATGCCGACGATCACTAAGAAACCCGAAAGGGCTACAAAACGTCCCAGAAAAACATCCCCATTTACCCCAAGTCCTATTAGAAGACGCTTCAAGCCAACATCTACGCCAAAGCTGTTTACAACGAAATCAAACACAAGAAGACCAAATAAACCAAGAAGCAGAGGATCACCATTCACACCCAGACCAACAACCCCCAGAATGATTCTATATACCACTAACGCTCCATTACCAACAAGGAAAATCGTTCGCCCTAGGGGAAGAACAATGAAACCGCAGCGACCCCGATCGACCCGACGATGGTACAGACCAACGACTGCCCGTTCACTGAGACCCACAACTCCACCTACAACACCAAGGATGACAACGACGAAGAGAACTACCATCACCCACCCTCCTACTAAACGTACCCCATTTACTCCATGGCCGACCAGGAAATCCCCACGTAGACGCTACACTACAATAGCCAGAACTCCGACAACACTACCAACCGTGAAAAACACACGTGCATGGCTCAGAACCACCCCAAAACAAGGAGACAAACACAAAGCAAGCAAACTGGAGAAGCTGTTAAAAGGTAGGAATCATTTTCAAATATTTAATAGATCTATTGACTTCATTGACACTTACCTGGGATATTCAGAAGCAAGAGATGCTTTCTATTAACAACTTCCTTTTGCTGTGAGAAGTTAAATATGCTTTTAAATGTTATGCTTATTCAGTGTACCCGCGGGACCTACCTGGTCCCCAATTACCTATCCATGTCATAAATGTCGCTTACAATTGATCGGTGGTTACACTCGCTCACTTGACTGATTGTGTGTATTCAACTGAGTGAGACGTTGCACATAATATCAACCAATTGTTTGTCTTTCCCAGACTATGTACGATTATGTACAGGCTGTCGTGATATACAAAAACAACCAAAAACAAAAAACATAAAAAAGTTCATGATATAGATGTTGTCACCAATAGACGCCATTTCAAAATAGAATCAAGCATATCTTCGAGTTGGGAAATATAACTCCTCCCGTCTTGCAAGTCATCTCCAGTATTGGTAACATTCTGATTGGCGATCACCTTACCTTGAATATACTAGCTGTACGTTAGAAAGAGACTCTGTCTGCATTAAACGAGTTCATTCTTAAAACGAAAACTATAAAGACAAACGGACAATCATCGATTAATATTTCCTTGCGATAGATTAATAAAAAATATTACATTAGTTAAATAATAATGGATAAGTGACAGAGAATCTCTAATGTTAGCACATTTTCGAGGGGCGCATCTGTTTATCTTTTAAATACCGTTGGGGTCGAATTTACAAACTCCGCTTTAAAAAAATGTCAGGTCAATATGCTTGCGAAATTGACTAGATCTGAGTGAAAAACATTTTAACGTTTAGTATTAGTTTCATAATTTGCGATAAGGCATATATTATGTCAAAGATGAGAGCCAGAGTATTTCTGACATGATGCAATCTGCTATTTGTATCCCAATGTTTTACAAAACTTCTTTATATTAATAATGTAAAAAAATGAAACCTGTAAACTTCGATACATTTATAACTTTCGAACTTAAGTACGCATATTTTTCGAAAGAATTGGCATTTGAAAAACGGATATATCCTCAATCTCTCAAGAGACTGCCATGCTCCTACTCCTTTGAGAAACACACATTATGATAGTATGGTAGTTATGTCTATGCCAGTTTTAGGCTAAGTTCTCATTCTTCCCCTTGTTTGTTATTTATTCTTTCTGATTTTAATATTTTGGTTTTGTTTGTTTGCTGTTTAACGCAGCAGTCAGCAATATATTAAAGCTATGTTACATCAGTCTGTTAATAATCAAATCTGAAACAGGCAAACCAGAGACTGTCATCATGAGTTTGGGTAGGACGACATGCAATTAGAAAGGTCACCGAGGTTGACCACCCGATCAAATAGCCGCCTGGTATGACAAGTATGGTTTGCTGGGAACATATTCGAACCTGAATTTCAAACAGTTGACTTGCAGTGTGTTACCTGAACAATATGTTTTCACTGTGTTCACTGTGCCAGTAAAGCTATAACAGAAACTTTACAAGCAGTACTTTTGCTTTTGGCATCAGGATATAAAATAGTTTGTGTGCGTTTCTTATTTTATGCCACAGTAAATGTAATCCCTGCTATAACACAGTTGCCTGTACATAATTGAGTCTGGACAAGATAAACCAATGATATTACGAACAACGCCCCACGCCGTAAGGCCAGGAAGATGCACATATTTATTCTGATCACTCGGTCCATTTAGTCGTCTCATACAACAAACATAACCTAATGGGCTCTTATTCTCTTCTGGAATCCCCACGCTTTGAATAGCGAATATGCATTCCGATCGTTCGAACTTGCTGCAAACATCGTCATCTCGATATCAATATTTCAGCACTAAAAAACGAATTAAGTAATAAAACTTAAATATCAGTTGAAGTTAAAATAACTTACAACACAAGAAATCGTACATGTGTACTCATTCGGTGCATGTTTTTAACTTACACTATGAGCGCTGCATTTCTTAAAATATCATGTTGTTTTTTATCTGAGTAAACCAAAGCACGTCTACTCTGTGTTAATGTACCTAACGAGCCATATAAAAAGTTCAACAATGTCAAATTGATGATTCATTTGATAAACATTAATGTGTCTTTCTAAACTATGCATGTTTGTAATTAATTGACATATGTTTATCAACCAAACAAAGTAGCTGGCATCATACAAAATCAAACAGAGTTTGCAATCGAAAGGAACCCTCTTTGTTTGCAGACGCAATGCCTGTCAGAGTGTTCATAACATCAACATGTGTACATTTGAGCAAATGATATGGTCCCTTCTTGTACGTTTATTTCTTATAAACACACGTGATATGATATTTTAGTCACATGGCCTAACGTGTGTGATCGGGACCGAATGCCTGTGTCAATACTTACAGTAAGGTATACTGCAAATGTTGTCGCTCTAATATGTTTACCGTGCGTGACATACGGCGACGAAGAAGAGCAGAGGGAACCATATGTTGTTCACAAGAATCGCTTTTGGGTCTTATTAAGAATGTGAAATTCGGAAAGTAAAATGTTCACAGGAATAGCTGTAGGGACTTAGTAAGAATATAGAATTAAAGAAAAAATAATTCAAAACTTGCAGATGTTAACACAGCGCATTAATATTTTACTAAAGATGATTGTGAGATCAACGTAATGCGTTTACTAGTTATTCATTTACACAAAATCTCCAAAATGTGAAGTAGATAAAGATGAGATTTGCTGATCTGCGAAGCTATATTATGTGTAACGTCTGTGGGATTTGTCTAAAAGGAGAGTCTCACAAGGCGGATGTTTTTTTGAAGAACTTGAATCAATACCTAACCACTACCTTCCTTGAAAATCTGCCAAGTGTGAGGGATTTTGATTCAAGGTCGCATATTCCCTTCAGCCAATGAGGATGCCCCTCGGCAGAGTGGATTAACCCGACAACTCTAACATGAGCAGAGCATCGATATGGCTGATACAGGGCGCCTTTTTATGATCCTTCTTTTCTAGCACAATTTAAAAGCTGTTTGTCTTGTTAAAGTCACCACATCACCCCATATGATTCACGATTAATGTGTCCTTTATATGAGTTCATACATTCTGTTTGGTGCACAAATAAAAATAAACACAAAAATGAATATCATGTCATATTCAATGAAACGTTTTGAAATACTGCTGCAAAACTGCATTTTCCATTGAGTGGCATTGAGATTAACCTTCGTAAGATACGTGACCGACAGTTATGGTTCTACGCATACGAAATGACAATGTCATTTGTAACAGACGTAATTGTACGGTGATTGCTATTATCAACATGAATAAATCATAATTATAAACAGATGAACGGACAAACATGTGTAAATTGTACACACACAGACTGAGAGTGAAATGTCGATAATTTGGAGTATATCACTCTGACTTAAGTTTTCACTCGGAAACATTTCTTTCATACGAAATATAAGAAACGACGCCAACATTGGAGTTTCATTGTAATGGAATACCCAGTGCATTTAGCCGTGCATTTACAAAGAGCGTTACGAAAGTAAGTGGCAACAACCTATTTCGGAAACCAAAGAATATCTTTAAAACTGTGAACCATGTAAGTTTAATGGTAAAAGTTATAATGTAGAATGTTTAAGGTTTTTCTTTTTAGTGATTATTTTGTTATAGAATGTCGATTTCAGTGCTAGATATCAGGAACGATAGTAATGCTTTTACATATTAAAAGACTTAACAGCACAAAAGTGATACTGTCTTTAAACAATATAAAAGGAACCAGAATAGATGAAGCAAAACCATATTTATTAGGAAGTATAAAACATCTTTACTGAAAACCGAAACCAGAAATTTGTAGTTTTACAGCATATGTGACATGATAATCAATGCACCAAATATACTAAATGAAATGTTAAGTGCTATTTTCACAAATTTAATGTATTTTCCAATGTCTATATTTAAAACGTAGTTGAGTTGGCGATAGAAATACCATATAAAGTGACACATGTTCCATAATAAACTACAGGACGCCTAAACAATTTTACCTGTTATTTTCAAGGCCAAAGGATTGAAATTATTGTACAGATCGAGGCATTATGAAAATGTTTATGTTTTCTAATAGCGAGTACTTAATCCAGAATGAATCTATAAAGAATGTATCACGTTACTAGAAATAGTGCTCATGTATGTGCCAACACGCTATCGGGGGCCAGAGTCAACAGCTACTGCTTCAGCTTGGAGCTTCTTTGAAGAGAGAGAAGATGCCAGCAGTCGCTAAGAAGCAAACAATAAGATACCATCATAGGATGAGGAACTTTTTATCTGATCTTGAAACATTTCTGATTTTTATAATTTGAATGTTATCATTTCTGCTGAAATATCTGCTGGGCTCAAGCACCAATAGGGGTGATGTTCTTGCCAAAACTGTATTTTTGCATCCTAGTAGTGGCTGAATCATATCTTGTTTTCTTTATGATGAATATTTGTCATCCATGTTTTAATCTCCATATCCGGTAATACAAAAGGGTTTTCATGTGAAATAGTTGTGTAAATACAATATTTATTTTAAGAAGCCGAATTGCATGCGTATGTGTTGAAGGAAACATTATGCAATCGTAGTGATTGTAAACACTTGCAAAAAGGTAGAAAGAAGTTGAGAGATGCATGAAATTTGCAATGTTTATTTGTCTTTACAGGTTAGCGAGAACACCTTTGTAAACGTGTAAAAAAATCAACAATACTCATCAGTACATAATGACATAAATGACGATAGTTACACTTCGAAGTTCGTCAAGAAAGACTCTGAAACAATATAAGCAACCTCGAATTTTCATGTTTATATTGACCACAGTGAGAACGTATAACATTTATTATTATACTATTCCTTTCAAGAACGAATACATGACACTATTTTCATCCCTAAATCATGCTTATTAAAAACTTCCCAATACTTACTCCAATAAACAACAATCGATCCCTTCGATATCGAAAACAACAACACATGGATCTATTAATTAT